ATCCATCCATCCATCCATCCATCCATCCATCCATCCATCCATCCATCCATCCATCCATCCATCCTGTATCCATCTATCCTATATCCATTGATCCCGCTTGTATCAATCCATCCATCCATTCTGTACCCATCCTATATGCATTCACCTATCCTATATCCATCTATCCATCCATCGGCACACTCGAAAATCGAATTTTTGCCTCCACCGACTTCTTATACCACTGATAGAATACTTTTGCAATTTCAATTACGGCAGTAACTTCATCTGTTAGTGTATGTTGAATAACTTTCGGCTCAACTCTCCAAGATCTTCAATTATTCGGGCATTGAGACCAGGACTTACATTACCACCACCGAAAGATTTCTTCCTTATTTCGACCATAAATCCATCAACCACTAAATTAACAGCGGGTAATCAGAATCTTTCCTCCTTAATCTTGCGTGCCAGATATGTGGGTTTTGAAAACATTCTGTAAGATCGGAAGGCATTTTACCTCTAGTTTTATTCACTAATAGCTCAAGGTTGATAATTTAAATTGCATAACCCATGCAAACACATTTCTTTTACTAAAAACACGTTTCTTGGGCACATTTTTTCATTTTGCCTATATTATTTAGAAATTTTACTGTTTCTTTCCTAACAGATAGTTGATTGGTCAATTATCTATTCGGTCAGAAAAGGACAAACATCTTCCCACTTTACTGCACTTCAAAATTTCGAAAACGAAATAGCGAGCATTTTAATGTGCGTTGAGTCTTTTTAAGGAAAAGTCACCTTAGGTGAACCATTTGTAAAAACAAAAGCATCTAAAGAAGTAACTGATGAAAATCGTGATAGTAAGTTTGCAAGCAATCATTTCACTTACTCTCCAGCAGCATTGAGTTCCATAATCTCGAACCAGACCAGCAAATCATTTTGGTGGATTAGTGAATCACTGTAAAAGAAAGGCACACATTATTAAAGCTGACAAACTTGCCGCAAGCAGTCAGACATTATTGTAAATTTTTATGCTGGGGATGAGCATACTACTGAAAAGGAGGCATTGTAACAGGATGCAGATGCAAATTTGTTCATGAAATTTGTTTGCCTTTTGAAGAATTCCCTTTCTCCTGCCTTTTCCTGTAAGGTAACTTTGTATAAAGATCTTAAACAGTTCTTCCATACATTGCTCCCATGCTACTATGCACGCATGTAGTAATATATTACCAACATCTAAAGGTCAAATGTTCTGAACTATTTTGTTAAAATGCATAACCTTTCGGCTTTTTTACATTCATTTATAAGAATTTGAGTCTGACGCCATTTTGGAGGATAACCTGACTATCTGTGAGGCATAAACCTACCTCCAACTGAACCTCAAATTAAGTTGGCATCAAAAGACACGAGTGAGAATTTTCCGCCTGTACATAATTTGTCTCTGAAGGCCATTAGACATCATAAGATATAGTTTCTTGTTGTGCTGCAAATTCACCTCCATACCCTTTTCCTCGCCCATCCGACTAGCGCAGTGTGACTATTGCAGCAAAGTACCTTTGGATTTACCGATGATGGCAGCAAGAAGGCCACAACATTGCCCCGCATAATTTTACGAGGTAGTTTTCATCACTTGACCTCCTGACTTCCTTAATGATGCAATACTGAAACTATTTATGGGTTGCTGGGTCTCGTAATACCGTTAGAGGCAATATTAGGCACCATATTGACGAACGATCTGAAACTAATTCTAGAGAGGACCATGAATCGAATGGGGAGGGTCACAAGTAAAGGCATAGTATTTTTGCTTAATATGAATAAAAAACAATTCTTTAGCACAAAATAACAGCCTTAGGTGCACCATTTTTCTTTTGGGTTAACTTACGGAGGGTTTAAATTGGTCACATCGAGGTTTCGGATGGGGAGTGGTGGGGAAATGAGAAGAGTGGCGGGGAGGCCCTTCCTCAAAGATAAGTTGGATCTCCTTATAAAAGAAAAAGAGAAACGTGTATTGGTGTAGACATCCATTACGGCAACATCCCATTTGGTCAGTTATAAACCGGCATAAATTTTAATTAAACTTTAAGCATTCTTAAAGTTGGCAAGTCATGATGGTAATTTTCACTGTTAAATAAAGCGATCCGGTTGAGAAAGGGACTGGTCAAATTGCCCATTTAACTGCACCATCTCTTCAACTTGTAGTTCATCAACCCTTCAGTACTCGGGTAATAACCCACTTCTGTAGAATGACTTTGAAAAGCCAAGTTTTCTGCCAGGGATGAGTAAGGACATTTGACGTAGATAGCTGCAGCTGTACAGACCCACAATAGGGGAGGTAGTGGAGCAACGTGGACTTCCGTCAACCATTACAGTCTCGCGTTGGACAAAAATGGTTATTTATTATTAGGTCATGCCTCGCTTTAGAAAACTACTTAATATCACCCTTCGAAGGTAGGAGGTAATCCCTCACTCTCCATCGTGAAATATCGACCAGCCTTCTGCGCCATCTTAAATGCAAATTCACCTTCCTTCCTTTTTCTTCTTCGTCGACTAACCACAGTCCACACAAAGACTCGTGATTGTTAAAGGACTAGCTTGTGACCACTGCGGATCAACGAGGGCGCTGTCCCAAAGGAGAAGGTGACTATGTATGTGTCTGGGCTCTTTACTTAGTCATCGCTTCGGTGCCAAGTCCACAGCCCCCAGCCCATCTAACCGCCGATGATAAACCTGTTGTCCATGCTGACCCACCTTATTACCTATTCATGAATAGCTAACAAGGCTTTAAAACTGCTTCAGCGATAAAAAGATCCCAAAAGAAATTAAACAGAACGGCTGAAACAACTAACGATAAACTATCAAAAGTGAAGAAATGACAAGGTCTGTTATAATAGGAAATAACATTTTCTTTACATTCCGAAAGACTAAGCCAAAAAAGAATGTTTGTATCTCAGAAAACCGTATTTTACAAGCCTATATTAATAAAATTATTTTGTCAGTTTGTTTAGGTCAACCACTCATTGGTTTTGGGTTCCCTTGATCAAGTTTGTTGATGATCCGCTTATTTAATTCTACTCATGTAATCATGCAATAAATCCGCCTTAAATAAGAAAGAAAAAGACCAAAATATTTTAAAATATGTGGCTTGTATCAATAAAAACAAAGCCTGTTTGCTGAAATGACCAACTGCGCAAAAGCAGCTGGGAGAAATCTGTGAAATGTACTTCCAAAGTCGTGGTAAAATGTTGCAAGAATGCAAAAAGGAAGAAAAAGGCTTTTACCAAATGTTTTAAATACAGCTGTCTTTAGAAGCCCCGTCACTTACGTCCGAGTCAGGCTACTCTCCTTCCCTAGTTTTAATAAGTGGCCTTTGCGGGCATGTCCGAATGCTTCAAATGTTAGGGGTTTACGCATTAAACAATCCACAAAGGCACGTGTTACGTTCACCGTAAACTAAAAGGTAAAACAAAAGGACTGCTTGACTATTTTGTTCCGTGAGATTCTTTTGTCCTGTTAGCAAAACTTGGATTACAGAGGAAAGACTTCTTCACCTTTTGAATTTGGCAAAATTCGAGGTTTTCACCATCTTTCGTGTTCTCTACCGGTTCTGTTGAATACACTTCATCCGGTTTGCCGGGCAAGCTAAGACAGAATAATTAAAAGCCTTACATTTTATGTTAGGTGCCGGGCAAACAACTCTAGAAATTCTTCTAAAGCACGAATTAAATGGTGCTATAAAGCAAGACTAAACTTCTCGCAATCTTTTAGACAAGCTTTCCTTATCCATAACTCACGAGAACTGACAAAATACGCTGGTATAGTGGGAGGGTAGGCCGCGAATGGCCAAAATAGTTATCTTCCACCAAAAAACTTCACCAATTTGGAGATGTTCAGGAAGATATTCTTCATTCAGCCATGGACGTCTACTGCACTCCTCAGTTATGACGTCGCTTTCACCTAAAGGTGGTCAGAAAAGATGCAACTTGTCTTCTCACTTATTTTTCCATCCGCGCCAGCTTAAAATAAGTTTTACTAATAATTTGTAAGTAGTAATTCATCAGCTCACTCGTGGTACTATCCGCAGGAAAGAAGCGGCCTTCTCGAGCTTTCGGCGTTTTTCCATCGGCAGATTCGATCAGACATACGGTATCCAAACAATCGGGTATCAGCCTGGTCTCAAACCTTCCAAAAACAACGTCGTCAGAGTAGGAATCGCCATTAGCCTGCAACCAGTGAACGACATTTGTGGCAAAATCTAGTCATCGGCAAGACTTCATAAAAATCTACTTGACCTGGGTAAAAAGTGACGAATTTTAGAACCAACTTAGCGCATTTGAGTGTGCTCCCCACTTTAGAAGTTGACTCCAAAACATAAGTCCTGAAGAGTAAATAAAAAAATTGACGACCTCTGTCATGTTTTAGCCACATTTAAATTCATTCACAATGAGCCCTCTCTTAAATCGGTCGACAAGGTGCAAAAGCCTTTGCTCATCATCTTCTGCAGACCTTGAGTTACACGGTAATCCGGAGAAAACTGTTTACTTCCGGTCGTTATTCATCTCTGCTCACCACTTAGGCTTTTTCGCAGTGCTCTAACAACGGTGATTTTTACGTACCTCCGAGGTGAAATACTCGAGGTCATTAAAATGCAGTTTGGCATGACCTGTGCGTTGGCCGCCCTGAGAAGCCGGTCCAAAGAGAGGTGAGGGAGCAGGTGAACGGGGTGGCGATGAGTCATTTCTGGACTCCACTAACAACCGAATGAAACCCACGTGTTCACCATTGCGATTGATTAGTGGAAGCTCCTGCTCGTGCGACAGGTCGAAGTAGAGATTGGTCAGGTAGACGAGACACCTTTAAAAGGGGAATATGTGCGTTAAGCAGTCGAGAGTAAAGAGAACTTCCTACCTTCCAATGGGTCTAAACCACGGAAGTTTGTCGTAGAATGGATCAGTGGTTGCAGCATAATCCTCCTCATCGTCTTCTTCCTTGTTTTCCTTTTCAGCACTTTCATCATTGACATCTGCTCTTGATGCGTCTTCAGAGGAAGTTTTCAGAGAGCAGGAAGATAGTGAACCATTTCTGATTGGAAGTGAGTACAGCTGATTGAAAGCGCAAGTGGAGAGATCGCCTTCAGCATGAAAGTACTTTTGCATTTCAACTAGACGTTGACTGAAGGGTTGCATGAAAGGTATCGGACAATATGAAAGGTAAACGAGAATATATAGTCGTAGAAAGCTGTTTAGTCTGCATTTCCTTTTCGTTTCTTACGAGATTCGGTTTCCTGGCAATGCCGAAACTTATTCTGGAGCCGTCTAGAGCTCCTCGTATCTGTGTATAGACAGTCTTGTTGGGTAATTAGAGGCGGTCCTCACTCGTGGCTATTGAAATCTGTTATCCATGTTTTGTTTCGAGAGGTCGTTAATAGTCATGAAACTTTATGGTACTGGACGTTCAACTCGTCCTTACTCTCTGTGACTTAAAAGTCTACCACCTCGACGTGGAATCAGTTCAATTAGCCTTGACTGTGTCCAAAACTGCCCTATTATTATAATGGTGAAAAACTGAGCTGAGAAGGATCAGCTCCATCCGTCCCAAGATGAAGTGGCAGCAGTGTTTTAGGCATCAAATCAGTTTACATAAGTTAAGCCACTCACTAAAATGTTTGGAGACTCCACTTGTAGCTGAGACCGTTGGCTGTGTTGAAGGCTTCAACAGCAATAATACCTCGGTTAGAAGATGGCTCCTCAGCTGTAGGGTAGGGATTTAAACCATCAACTGTGCGGTTTCCATGATACTTTAACAACTTTCTCACTCCCGTCAATTCGTCCTTCAGTGGTGTGTAGGGGGTGTCACTCAGCATGACAAATTGATATTGCATCTACAAAAGTTAAGATAATTCACGGCGCTTCAAATTTTTTCATTCCGACATGAATATCTCCTCCACTGTTCACAGTATTGACTCCCTGACTGAAGTAGACGTCACCTCAACAGTGGTTTCATTGACCTGCTACTTGATAGGGATCGTCCAAAGCGAGGTGCCTTTTCTATACGAATGTACAGACTAGAAGATGATTACAGCCCCCTCGCCCCACCTCATGTTTGGTTCCTTTTAACACTTCTTCCATATTAGCATCATTTTTTAGGTTTTTAGTGATGTATCAAACCCCACAATGAATAGTCGGAAATGGGTTGCCTTTTAACCAATCAGTGATGATTTAATCTTAACATTGAATAAAAAACCGAAATTTTTACCTTTTTATTCAATTCGACGCTCATAACATTTGCCTCCTTCAGTAGAACTGCGTTATTCCACAGAATATCCTAGAAGAGAAATACTTGAAAGTGGTAGACATGACATGCCTTGCTGATGATTGACATGGTATCCTTTTACCACAAACACAGGCGTCTAAGCGATGTGATTTGTTGGGAGGAAGGAAGCAAAATCTCTTTTATTCCTATGTTTTAATTAACGAATACTTCGAACCAAAGGCGTGACCGATGTACAACGATCAAAGCCGTGGAAGCATACATTCCTGTGTGTTAGCTAGCCACCTCACTTGCTCGGACTTGAGTGGTTGGAAAGAATAGGCACAGGAAGTCCAAGTTGAAGAAGGACCCAAAGAACTCAGAATTTATAATGTTTTTTACTGATATCTGTTTATTTAAAGGAGGTGGGCTTAATACACCCTACCTACTTCAACTTACCCTTCTGGTGGTAAATCCGCACTGTTTCCAACACTGAAAAGCCCATCGAGCCAACTGGAATTCGCGATCACTCCAAACAGTATCCGCTGAAATTTGGGTCAAAAATGTGGAATTAGTGAATCACAAGTAGACATGTCCCCAACTGCCTCCCTTCAATGCAAGTCATGCCGAAGATGACGTGGTGGTGGATGAAACTGGTAATGAGGTAAGCCAGTCATTTTGAGGTCAAGACCCTTCCAGATGTAACCTAAATGCTCAGTGCCTTCCCCCTTCCTGCCCTCACTTATGGTTGCGATGACTAACGCAAAAACTTGCCATTCACAAGGATCCAGAACAACACCGAAGATCATTCTATCGTGTTACGACTTCTGCACCAAACATGCAAGGACCTGTCTGAATTGCTCCGTGCTTCCAGTTTTGAATTCTTCCCTATCCCATCTTAACACGGGAATTCTTCCATTTGACCACACTTCCCTCCCTGTCAATCACTCGCCACTGCGGTGCATTTTAGTAACCAAAATTAATTGAAGTGAAACTTACTTTCCTCCTCGGAAACGGAATCTTCCTGAACCATTGAAGTGAGTATGGACTGCTGTTCCACCTTTTCCTGCAGGACTTGAATTTGTCCTTCGTATTCCTTTAAAAATTGATGCAATTTTAAAGCTACTTTTCCGAAAAGTGGAAGGGTAAAGCAAGTACTCAACAAACCCTTCGTTGTTCATCAAAACGTCTGTCTATTTCCTCGCGCTCTCGACGATACTGCTCCTCCATTTCTAGCAGGCGTTCATCCATTTCTTTGCGCAAGTCTACGCCCTGCTTGTCAAGGAGTTCACAAATTGCATAGGTCCAATCCACCGTCTCTGAGAAGCTCGCTACGAGAGAAGTGAGGATAAGAGCACGACTTCATCACAGTTTTGAGAAGCTACGACGGGCTTCTGCGGGCTTAACTACAGAGTCTTGAATAGCACTTAAGCTTCTTTATTCGACTATATGCCTCAAAATTTGGTGAAAATCTAAGGATTTGTCATCTTTCGTCAAAAAAAGGAGAAAAAAGCCTTATAGTTCTACTTTTTTGCCTATTGCCTGAATTTGTCCCGACATTTCTTGTTGTCAATGGTCAGGTGGCAGTACAGAGGTACCGTGGAACCGCTACCTTTCCAGCAATTTCTTTTCATTAATACCCCTTTAAATCTGTCAGCCGGGGGAAAGTAGAGAGTACTTTAGGGTGTTTAGCATTGGCAACTTACTGGTCATATCGTCAGTACCGTTTGCCTTCCGTTCACGACCTTTAAAATGGAAAGAATTTGACTGCACACTTTTGTTCTAGTAAGCAGCGTTCGTTAGGGAAGAGTTAATTAGCTAGCATTCATGTTTTTTTGGTCTTTTTTGATCATTCTTAGTCACCACACGCAAATTAAGCATTAGCAGTGAAACAAAGCCAATTTATGCAGCTTATTTAAAAATTGCCACACACTACTTATATAGCTACTGTCATGCAGCGGCCCATCATTTTCATTACCAAATGTTCTCAAGTACTTGTGACTAAGTGGAGATTTACAAAAAATTAAAAGACGGCATTTACGAGTGAGTGGATTGTTAAACCGAAAGACGTGATTTTTCCCCAGAATGACACGATCGCCCGAGTGCAATTCCGTGGCACTTGAAATGAGACTGCCATTGAGGTAGCATTCAGCTCCACCAATCGGCTCAATGGCAACAACATCTACAAAAAGAAGATGCAGATTACACTGCTCCACTTCCACTTCTCTAATTAAAGGCGCTATTTTTGGATCCAAAGTTGGATCGCATTTGTGATAAGCGGGTCGGTCTGCATTGATCCCGCTGACCAATCAAATGTCAGTGCAGGAGGGGGCGCGCGCATTTAAACCAATTGAATAGATAACAAGATATGCTAAATTTGGTTAATTGAGCAGCTGAGTGTTTTATGGAAAAGGAATACACAAGAATGGCGGAATTTTTCAGACTATCCTTCCGTAATTCTCGAGGAAGTGTAATCTTGAGGCCTAATGAGAGGAAGCAGTGGATAGGCTTAAAGTGGAAGGGGTCCAGGACATCCTTTTTCCCTTTTTCAGGTTAAAATTATTCTTCAATACCTATTAAAATCCTTCCACTGAAAGAGATTAACCTATTAAACACAATGGTCAGAGGAGTATTCTCATATCTCATTCTGAGAGATGACTTTCAGCAAAAAGTGTGAACCTCCCCCCGGACAGATTTCTTTTGCTTCACGTGGGTGGCGGTAAGACACCTACCTACTGTAACTAAGTCCGGTGCAGAAACACGGTAAATGAAACCTCCGGCTACGACGTTCGGAAGGCGTTGGAAAGTGGGTGACTGAATGATATTTACCTTCCACCATTTGATCTGCACGCTTGCAGCACGGAGCTTTTTCCGTATATAAACTGGCGTGTCTTGTAACAGCATACAATTAATTCGATTGCTACAAAACCATAACTTTTATTTATCTCCTAACCTAGATCTGGAAATTAAAACTTACCTCGCCGACGAATAAAAAGTCAATTTAGATCCGCGCAAATTTGAAAACTTCAAATTTAGGTATGCGCAGAGTTGGGAATGCATAAATTGTTTTGGGGGTATAGCAAAGCACAGGAAGAAATTGACTTTTTATCATTTTTAAAAACGTACTGTCTTTCAGCATAAAGTTGCAATGATGCGGTTTGATAAAATTTCCAAGCAGACCAATGTCAAGATCGTCCCCTTCGTTGAGGTGACCCAATCTAAGAGAGGACGGAAAACAAACAAAGCACTTGGATTGGGAGCATAATCATGATTTTTTAACTTATTTGTTAATTCCAAAATTACAAGGTTTCCAGAATTGGTGGAGTTCTCAATTAAGCTGACTATTGTATAAACCAGATGCAGCTCAGCAACACTTACCGAGTCTTGCCCTGTTTTAAGTAGTATATCAGGCACTCAGACATGGTTGGATCCTCGTTTAAATTTACCAGATTTGGCGTCTAAAGGGTAGGCACATGAAGTAGGAAATTGAGGACCCTTCCATCACCCGGGAAAGGCGGCTATACATGGAATTGTGGGTGGTTACCTTAGGGGCGAAAACTCCTGTTAGCGCGCCGTCGGCATGGAGGGCGATGCCCATTCCTCGCAATTCCTGTTCCCTGAACAAAAAAGGTAAGAGACACAAAGTTGTTAAATTTACTACCTAATAGTATTTATTTCTCAACCTAAGTGTTAAAATACTGTTTAAAAACCCCAGTTAACAAATGATGCCCATCCCGATCGCTATGCCACTTATACTTCATTGTCGACATTTGTGAGAGTGACAAGTTCCTTTTTGTTGTTTTCATTTCAAATGGCATGCCCCGTTTTCCTTCTTTTTTCAACAATTCATCTCTTGTCTTCAATTTGTTTCTTATCACTAACAGGAATCGCATGGCATATTTGTCCTCTTTCCACTTGGGAAAAAACAGGACTCCGGTTTAAAGGTTCTTCTGTAAATCTTTTCCCACTATCGATTGCGGCAGTACTTAAAGAGGTTGTCCCACGAATTCAAGGTAGCAAACGGTTATGGGAAAGGTTGCGTGAGAAGCATCCTCAAACATTCAACCGTTTTAGAGGAATCGTGACTGTTTTAGGGACACCTCAACTTAACTTCGTAATAGTAATGTAGTGATAATGTTTATCTCACCAACCTTTGAGCTCGTAGCGCCTCTGTTTTCTTTAATTTCATCTCCAACGTCTCATTGAGTTCAGCCAGCAATTTTTCTGAAGCTCGCAACTCCTCGATGCGTGCTTCGTACTCCCTTAGCTCCAGACTTGTTTCCATTTTCGCGGGTACGTCAGCAGTACCTAAGGGAAGGGATTTGTTGACACAGACAGAGTTTGTTAAAAGCACAAATTTGGAGGCTTAGGTTTGTGTACATGTGGATATATTTAAGGGAAAAGTACCCCAAACAGTGAGACCTCTTTGTGAAGATCTGAAGTGCTACCTCTAGACTGTGAGTGTAAATTATATGGGAATAAAGAATCGAGAAGGGAGTTGACGGACCTCCAAATAGAGTAAGCGACAAATCATTGCCCTCCACAGATTGTGCAGTTAAAAAAAACTAGTAAAACACGATAAGATCTGGCCTCCTGAATCCATTCTCATCCGATTCTTCACCAGTGGTATGGTAGCGAAGCAGGAATTAGTAATTATCGCTATTGCTATACACAATACCCAGGGGTTGATTTGATTAAACTGACTAAAATCTTTCGTAATGAATGAAAACGTTTTCGAATATGCGCAAATTCATAGAATTAATGAACTAAAGGCATACGAGATGGATGAATGGATAAATACAGGATGGATGGATAGAGGATGGATGGACGTTTGGATAGATGGATGGATAGATAAATGGATGGATACGGGATGGATGGATGGATAGAGGAAGGATGAGTGTGTGGATGGATTAAAAAGGATGGATGGATGGATAAATGGATGGGTGGGTGGATACAGGATGGATGGATGAATACAGGATGGATGGATGGATAGAGGATGGATGGATGGATGGATACAGGATGGATGGATGGGTAGACACGGGATGGACGAACGGATATCCAAACTTCAGCGCTCTAACTCCAAATAAGTAATTGGTTCCCTTGGCTCACGCGTTAATTCACTGTCAGATTTTTACCCTAATTTTATTCTACTTTTATTTACCATACGCGTTCAGCATAGCTGTTTTTGCAAAGGATTTGGTACTTTCGGTGTGACTCTCCGTTTCTCCACTGGTACCAGTAAATCTTCACTAGGTCGACCAGATTCATTGCTTTCAATACCACTTCTGATCTACTCAATTTTGAAAATAAAGGATAGAATGAATGGCGATTCCTGCAGTTGGTGGGAAACGCTCGACTGGCTAAACTTCTTCCACCATCCCACCTCCCTTCCGGCACTTTGAGGGGTTAAGATGATAATCTGCTAAACCCTTTTGATGTCAACCGAAAGGGTCGACTTAATCTACACTGGAGGCTGTATTTAAAATCCCTTTAATACAAAGCCGCCTTTTTGAGACTTGTAGAAAAAAAACTGGCTTCTTACGCCCAAAACAAGAGCCCGGATACACCCACACTTTCATAAGACAGTTTAGTGTCAAGAGTGAAGTAGCAATTTTCTCCTCTGTGTCAGAAAGTGAATTGGGTGGATGTTGATGCTGCAGTCACAGGCAGGACTATTAAACACTTTGCTTTCCCCCTTCCCCCCTCTTTTGGGTTTGCGTACAGCTTTCAAAACATGCTTTTCCCAACACTAAGTATAGAACCACTAAAACTTTTAACATCTCTTAAACAAATTGCCAAGGGAAAGCGCAATGCTACCAAGACAACAATTTTGTCACAAAAGTTGACATCATGTGATAGCAGATGAAATAGGCACTGGAGAAATTGCAATCCTGTCAGCAATTACGTGGAATGGGAGGAGGTGGAGACACCCTTGTTTAAATTTGCTTGGTCAGATTACCGCCAGCCATTCCACTGCTTGCGTGCTCTTTCTTGAATCTATTTGTTTTAATAAATCACTACTTTGAAGACAAAGGGTTACCAAATGGGGACAAATTTTCATGAAATCTTTTAATTTTGCCTTATTCCCTCTCCGGATCTAAGTTGACATAAAAGAACTTCTCAAACCTACCTACTAGTCGGGTAATAACTTGGAACACAACCTCGTTCAGAGCTCAACGAAACCGAAGAGATCAACATACCAGTTTTGTGAAGCAGGGTAAAAGAGTCAAATTAGTACCACCTCTCTGCTTTAAAGCAACAGAAAGACAATCATTTCGTTTCACTTTGAAACTTGAAAGTGACAAGTCAGAAGGGCTCCTTTTCAGCTCGGTACAATCAAACAGCACTTTTTTACAAGATTCTCAAGTGCTAAGTTTAGATCTGCGATACTTCTACACAGAGACCTCCTTTTGAACTGGAGGTGGTAACGACCGGTTGAAGTTACCCAGCCTTGTTCCCAGGTACTGACGAATTGAGAAAATTATACACTTCATTTCAATTGCTTTCAGCTCCCATTTTTCCACAAAAGTAACCCAATTTTAAGATTTGATTCGACTGTCAAATCACTGTGTTTATGTCAGTCATGGTCTTGACTACGACTTCATCTGGTTGTGCTTTGAAATGCCTCCCACATTAAATCAGCTTAGACACCATGACGTTTTTAAAGGATAAACAAAAGTAAAAGCAAACGAGAAATGTGGAGAGCAAATCAGCTCCACCGCAAAGTAAGCATTTTTAAAAGGCGGCGCTTCGACTTACCTGTAATCGTGACACCTTTTTCCAAACGTAAGAGGGCTCGAAGTTGTTCCACCTCCAGTTTGAGTTCTCGAATAATGCGGGCATTGGGATCCTCATTGATGACCGCTTTGCAGACAATCTGTTTGGCCCTGTCAGCGTAGCGCAAAGTTGACAGCGTTTCCTCGTAATTCACGTCTGCCGGCGAGAGCGTAGCCAGCATCATTGTTCGCGAATTGCCACCTAAAGGAGTTGTCCGATTCATGAGAAGTGAATAGACGAGTTCAATATAACAGGGCGTTTATTTTTTTCCGCTAAAAGACTCCAAAATTAAACTATAGCCATCTGTCCGGGCAAATCCAAAACAGGCAAAAATATGGGTTACCAGATTGTTGTGTTGTCGTCAGTTCTTCAAAGCCTCCTGCATCGTAACACGCTTTCAGATACAAATAATAAATTTGCTAGTGGGGTATTTCCAACTTCTTTTACTTATCTTTCCCATCTGTATCTGGGTGATTCTACCTCTTCTAAAAAGTCCCAACATAAAGTGGCAACTTAGGAAAAATTGAACTAAAGAAGGCCGGTGACAGCTGAACTATGACGAGTAACACAACCAGACTCCTACTTAGAGATTCCGTTGAAGAACCTAAGACCGAGCCAGCAAATCACCTACACACAATCAGAGTAGGTTCATACCCTCCTTTGCTGGCGTGTTTGGAGAGAAAACGGTTAATCCTTCCCACCAGTATCACCTATCAGGCGACAGTTGTCAAGTGACATTAGCTATGACACCCTTCTTTCTGATCGTACTAAAGCAGATGTACTTACCCAGATTTTCGCGAAGGAGCCAGGTAAGAACCGAATCTCGGTAAGGAATAAAATCGCTTTTCTTTTTCTTTTTCGATGTCTAAAAGGTACATAAGCGTAATGCCTTTATAACAGAAATTGAAGTGTTCGGCCACCTCACAATGGTCCCTTTTAACTTAAAATTGGCAAGATATCAATGAATTGTGCATTAACGAATGTCATTTAATCCAAAATACGTCAACGATTTTATAGGGCTTAAATTTTCCTTCAGATATTTTTGAAGTCACGACCTTCAAGTAGCCAATCAAATTGGGGGAGTAAACATTTATCCAATCACAAGGGCTCACCGCCATCTCAGCCAGGCAGGCAATGACCTTGCCTAGCGTGGTGAGGGATCTATTTATATTGGCGCCCTCTTTGAGTCGTGCCCCTGTAGCTCCTGTCGCGTCGGCTCTTTCACTGCCGGCCAAATCGACAAGACTGATTTTGCTCACCTGAAAGAAGGGCTCAATCTTTTGACGTACATCAGACCCAAAATTCTTCTCTCTGATGTCCATGTAATAAAAAAACAGTGCACTAAAGTAACACCTTTCCCCAAATTTATGATGAAGAAGTTACACATTCACCTTCCCTTGGAAATTTCCAGATTATTGGACTATGATGATGACCAAACTATCAATTCAACTGTCACGTAGAAAGCCTAAAGAAGTCACTTCAAAGGGAGACCAGGGTAAATGGATTGCCAAATAAGGAAAGTCTTGTATTGCCGCCCCTTAATCCACTGACACTCCACTTTGAGTCCGCTTGTTTTTTGGCCAATGTGACAATTCTTTCGAGAGCTCAGTTGAGTTTTTGAAGGCTTTTTTGACAGACCTTTTTGGAACGCAAGTTTTAGCGCAGAACCAAAGCACACATAGGGAGCAATCAGAGGAGCAAATTTAACTTTAAAGAGCCACTCTTCCATTGAGGAGGAGTTAGGCACATTAGAGTTGCAGGTTGAAATTGCTGGGTGTGGAGATTAACTGCAGTGGATGTGGTCTTTCTCCAGATTACACCATGAAACCAGCCAAGTTTGTCAGCCTATTTTGAGGTTGGAAATCCGTTCGTGTTCGTAAATCTCCCCTTTCTAGAGCGCTATCATGACAGTGAGGTGGGAGCACATGACGGACTCACGAAGTGGTCACTGGTTAGCCAACCAAAAAGTGTGTGGTAGACCGAGCCTAAAAGAGGATCCAATCCCCCCTCCACCGCAGGGGACGATTAATTATTAAAGGAGTTCAGAGACAAGACGGGACATTCAAGTCCATTTGGTCGCCTATAAACCCGTTAATAAACCCTAATTTCCTCTGAGGCACTTCTAAGCTATGATAAAACAGGTCAATTAAAAGTTTTCACTTAATTTTTCTTGTCTTTACTCAATTCTTGCTACGAGAAGACACACAACCTGTTTACTTTGTGTTTGTTTAGTAAGTAGTTCTTGGACGAGTGAGGAAATAACTGGAAAAAAAGACTGAGATACTGACTAGAACAAGTCTTTCCATAAATTTTAAATAGATTAAAAGACAAATCTCGTTTGTGCTTCTCTGGTGACAATTGCTACTAAAAAGAGGACCAGGGTGCCAAGTAATTGACGCTCAAAGTAGAAAATAGAACTTTCACCTTGATCAGTCGTTCCACGAAGCAAAAGATAATTGTTAAAAGCGATGAGGAATGGAGCTTAAGCTTGAGACCGGTGACAGAAAAATCAGCTGAAGTTGGACATAAAAACACCTATTCATTCACCAAGTGGCCATCTTGGCTACTGCTCCCAATTAATTGTCTTCAGTTTATGTGCAGGGATGAAAGAGGCTACTTTTTCAGCAGCAAGTTGTGCTTGTGCGTCGATTTCCCTTTGGGTCACAAGAAGGGTGAGAACGGCGTGAGACCTGCTACTAGTCTCATTCATATTCGTTGCGGCAACAGTTCTGTGTTAGAAAAAGGAGCTCCTTTATGCATTGAAGCTGAATTGGTGGCACAATTAAAGAGTAAGTAAGCTACTGAAATTAGAATTAAGTAGCATGCCACTACATCCTGCTTGGTAATCGCTAAGCACAAAAACGTGAATAACTGAAGAAATTGTGAGCCTGTTTTAAGCGCAAAGCACCGTCCTAAAAGGTGATTTTAGTCTTGAAAATGAGATAGCTATATAATGAAACCACCGCGTATGGTAGTGAGCCCTTTTCCCCTCAAGAGAAAGTACAATCATCTAGAAGTCTTCGAAAGTTGTGCTTGATTCTACTTTAATGCTGATGTTACTTGTTCATGCAAATCCTTCAGTCAACTGACAAACTGTCTCTCTCCCCTCCATTTATGAGAAAGCTCTATATCCTTACCTGGACATATTTCCAGCCTCAATCAATTCGTTGATCTCATCGAATGACTGAACTGCACATCGGGACAGATCCTCCACATAGGGTCCATAGACTGGGTGTTCACGAACTCGCAGATTACTTTTCCCATAGGGATTCAGCAAATCTCGTACCCGCTCGCAGTAGATTTCCATGTAGGAAAGCTACAATGAGAAGTTAGGGACGTCAGTGCACTTAAAACATTCGAAATTCTTGGTCGAGGTTTTAAAGCTGAACCTTCGCAGAGCTTTTATCTGAATTCTCAAACTAATCCAAATTCTGTGTTAGTTAGATCTGCCATTTTAGGACCTGAAAAAATCTTGCCTCTTCAAAGTGCTCGAGATTTGGAGGAAAGTTCTCCTGATCAGCTATTAGCACTTAGAATAAACGATGGTTGTGCCCCACACTGACTTTTTTCCATTGTTTATACTCTTACGCGGGCCATTTCAGCCTTTAGTGATACAGTTGCCATGTTTATAGAGTGTAGCACTTTCCCTATTAGTCCCTCAGCTTTTTTATGCATTTGTAGAGGAGTCACTTCGGCACTCGTTCATAACAGAAGATCTTCAGGGATAATCTACACCCCAAAGTTCAGTCCTCTGAACGACTTTTTATTGTCAACTAGCAGCGCTGAGGTACACTAATCCGAGACAAAAAATAATCTGTGATAGTAGCATTAAAAAGTACGTTGAGAACAATGGCGCCTGCAAGGGCCTTACGAACAAAACAACCTGAAAGGCGAGGTCATTAAGTGCAAAAGGCGGGACTGAATTGCAGGCTCTGTGGTTTTATGTCTTGGTTGGTAGGTAGATTGAATATCTCACTCCCCGGATTAACGCCAATGCTACCGTTACTGTCAAAAGTTAACAAAAGTCAACCTCGACGATGCTTTGGAACTCCTGTCCTCTTTGCTTCTGTATCTTCTCCAGGCGGGAGAAGAGGTCACGACAGAGACGCGGTGACAGTCCCATGTGTTCCGGGTCGTCTGGCTTTCCCATCATGGTGTAGGACTTGCCTGAACCCGTCTGCCCGTAGGCAAACACACAGACATTGTAACCCTCCAAAGCGTGATCCAGTGCTTCCACGCCCATTTCCGCGTAGATTTTATTTTGGGAAGCGAAGTGGGGATCAGTGGACTGGAAGGCGCGAGAACAAAAAAACTTAAGCGTTCAAAAACTCCTCCGACACTGGAGGTAGGGGATAAAAGTATCGTAGTGTGCTACCTTTTAATCAGTCACTCTATCTCTTCTGTTTTGTGTACTTCCTCACCGAAAAACCTGTAAAAATTTATGCGAACAAAAGGAGTAGGCTTCGATTCAGAGATTTTGAAGATCTGTTTGAAGTTCATTTTCATGTGAGATGATTGGAAGTTGCGGTTGTGATGGATTTGGAAAATGAACCGACTTTAAATCTATCCAAAAAGTGTAGAAGTAGCTATGAGCGGATGGTATTCCATTAGAGGTCTTTTGAGCTGCAAGCTCTTACTGTAGCATTGAAAGAGATGTCACTTCAGCCAGTCCGAATGATGCTAGAAGAAATGGAAGCCTATCCACGAACACAAAAACATAAGACAATTTAAAGATTTGCTTCTAAGTAGCAAAAAAATTCCCTTTTTCATAGCAAGAAAAGTAATGCTAAACCATTCATCTGCATAAATCAGGTCAGATTAACCAAAGATCCACCCACGAGGCCACAGTGACTGAGAAGGAAGGCAAGGTGAT